GTATAATGTTCTTCAGTTTAAAATGGATGTGATCCATTGGTTAAAAATAAATGGGTCAGTTTTTCTCATACCTACTCTTTTTCACTGTTTGACCTGAGCAAGACTTTTCTTTTAACTTTTCTTTTCTTTTCTTTTTAAGATTTTACATTACAAAATAGGTAAAAGTGTGTGACTTGTACTTTTTTGGTAACGGGTCAATATCGGTATCGGACAATTCTCAAAGTTGCAATATCTGTATCGTATCGGAAGTGAAAAAGTTGTATCGGGACATCCCTAACAGTCAGGACCCGTCCCCCCACCCGTAGGCGGAGGGAGGCTACCCTCTCATTCACCGGGGTGAATCCCAACATACAGGCACCGAGATGTGGGGCAGTAAGTATGCCCACTRCTGCTCGGCACCTCTCAGCATGGGCAACTCCAGAGTGGAAAAGTGTCCAACCCCTCTCGAGGAGACTGGTTCCAGAGCAGTGCGTCGAGGTGAGTCCGACTGTATCTAATCTGAACCTCTCAACCTCACACACCAGCTCAGTCTCCTTCCCCACCAGAGAGGCGACATTCCACATCCCTAGAGCCAGCTTCTGTAGCCGAGGACTGGACTGCCAAGGTCCTCGCCCTCGACCACTGTGCAACACACATTGCACCCGACCTCTACGGCCCCTCCCACAGGTGGTGAGCCCATGGGAAGGGGGACCCACATCTCCTCTTCGGGCTGTGCCTGACTAGACTCCATGGGCGAAAGCCCGGCCACCAGGCGGTTGCCAGGGTGCCCCACCTCCAAGCCTGGCTCCAGAATGGGGCCCGCGTCTGGGCGAGGGAACACTTAATCCGCCCATCATATTCATCATAGGGGTCTTTGGGCTGCACTTTGTCTGATCCCTCACCCAGGACCTGTTTGCCTTGGGTGACCCTACTGGTTGCATGAAGCCCCCGACAAAACAGCTCCTAGGATCATTGGGACAATCAAACCTCTCCACCACGATAAGGTGGCAGCCCAAGGAGAGATTATATACGGTTACCATCATAACTTATATTACAATCTGTGTACTTTAGTTGGCTTACACCACATTTTATTAATAAATAAATTATCTTAACATTGACGTGTGTGTGTGGTCATGTTTTTGCTACACCGTAGGAACCATTTTCCAGAAAAAAACAGCCTTATGGGGACCGAACTTGCATTGTAGGGACCAATGCCTGGTCCTGGGTGTGACAGAATCGGTAGGAGGTTCTTAAAGTGACAGAGGCAAATTTCAAGGTGTTTAGAAACGGCTCTGATGCGAAGTCAAATAAATTTTTTCTTTATACAAACAGCATTTTCATAACCGCTGAAGGTGACATAGTTACTTTATTATGATATAGGATTGAACTATAGGCCTGAGAAACACACATTATTGGCTGTTTAACATATCTGAATGTGTTAAAGAGCCAATATCTGATCTCATTTCAGAACCAGAGATGTCAAAAACATCACTTTTTATTTAGAACTACTCAGATTTGGACCACTTTACAAACGGGAGTAAAATTGTAAACTGATTTGAATTTGTTACTCTGAGGTTAAGCAAGAAGAAGAAACAAAGCCAAATCTGTCAACGCCTACGGTCATCTTCAAATGTGTAATAGAGCTATTCTGAATTTAAAAAAATATATATATATAAATATACTGTATATAATATATATATACAGTATATACTGTATATAATACATATATATACTGTATATGAGYCAAAATTTGATGAAAAATTTCAGAAATTCTAACGTTATTGTCATATGTTTATGTGACAACATTGAATATGCTGAGATCCATTTTCTGAAACAAAAGCAGACTCAGAAATTTAAAAATTATGCCATCTTTTGTGGTGATTTATTAAAAGAGAAATGAAGAAATAAAGGAAATAAAAATAAAGGACTTAGAAGCCTATTTAGTAGGTTGCAAGTTCAGCAGAATTTAGTGCCCCTGCAAAGGAAGCAGCTCAGACAAATTGATGATTTGCACAGATTTAGACTACAAGACAGTTAGCCTCTCAGTGGCCACTGAGCCACACAACTGATTTGACTCCATGACCSAAATTGGCTAATTACTCAAAATCACAGCCAAAAAATTCTTGCAAATTTCTGGTAAATTTGGCACTTTTGTGGATCTTTAACTTTTTCACAATTTTAAATCTTTAAAATGTCAGAGAGTATCGTAGTTTTATTCTTGTACACTTTTGTATTTATTAATTAAAATGTAGATTTTATGCTTTCCAATGTATAACTTCCAGCATAGCTGTTTTTTTCACATACATTTCACATACAATTTTGAATATTCTGAGATCCTATTTTAAATTTTCATGGCCCTCCAGATCTTTGTTGTTTTTATTTTATTTACAYTGTGGTAGACACCAGTTCTTAACAGCTGGAACTGGGAAATAATTATTTATCTCCTTTATGGGGATGTGCAAAAATAATTTTCTTTATTTTAGATATGTTTTTGTTAGTATATTGGTAGATACAGAGATTTATTCGTTATTGTCAAATCCAGTTCCAACCAAATTGAGGCCAAACAAACCTGATATTTGTCTAGCTAGCACTTGGTTATACTTAGTTTTACTTGTCTTGTTCAAGATTTTAAAGTATCTTTTAGTTTATTAGACTGATGYGTACTTGTTTCTATTGCTTCTATGCTCATCTTGGGCTCTTCTTCTCTATATTTAGGAGATCTACGGGCCTGCACTTACTGTCGTAAACTGGCAATGAACTACACTCACTCTGCAGACTCGGGCTCCATCGGGGAAGACTTGAGCTCCTTATCGGATTCACCTTGCTCTGTGTGTGTGTTGGAACCCAGCGAACCTCGGACACCCGTGGGAGGCCGAAAGGCCAGCAGAAACATCTTCCTGGAAGAAGGCCTGACCTGGCAGAGGTAAACGCATGTTGAATCAAAAAAATAATAATCATGGAACCTTAACTTCAATACTTTGATTAACTAAGTGTGAGGTTTTCATTAGTCCTGATGTAGGATGCCAAATGTTGCAAGGAGCGGTCTGGGTGCAGTTTATACAGACCAGGGGGTAGGGCCCACACAAGCAGGTGGGCTTGGACTACAAGTTTTCAGTGCATCTGCACAAGGGATAAACCCACAAACGATAGTCTTTGAAGGGCTGTGCCTATACTTATAGAGTCTGGGGTTACAGTATGTACCCAACGATCCAAGTCAATGGACAGTGGAGGGAGTTGGCAGTCCAGTGGGTCATTAGCCTAGGCATGCTAGTCGTTAGCCTCTACAATTCTAAAGCCAGCTTATCCATGCTAGTCGGTAGCCTCTCAGATGATAACACAAATGAATAGTCTCCTCATTTACCAGCACCGGCCTCTCGGGGCCAACTGCTCAGTTACCAGTGCCAATCTATCATTAATCATATCAATAGCTGGCTTACAAATATATATAGCCTCCTGCTACCAGTGGTTGCGCAATAGTCTTAATTTTGGCCCTCATACTGCACRATAAAGGTGGGGCAAACGAGGGTGGAGGCAGATGTGGGTAATTCACATAAAATTATGTTGTCAAGTTGCTTGTTTTCTATACTTGCTGCCATTTAAAATTTTTATGCCCTCTGCTTGTTTTCTGTCAAATACAATGTGTTTCCTGTCTCTTTTTTTAATTTATTTTTGTCCCACCGACTTAGAAAAGCTATCATTGGGATGAGGAAGAAGTGAGTTTCATTTATTTTTCTTCTTTTTGTTTTTGCACTTGCCCCTTAAGGTTAATAGGTTAATATTTCCAACATCAGTAAAAATAAAAAGTTTTCTGTGCTCAGTCCAGTTTAGTTTTTTTACACCACATATTCAAAGACCATAAACAGGACTTAATAGGTTAGTTTGGTGTATTTTGAAGTGATATTCTGTTAAATACCAATCGATAGCACCTATTCAGCTGTTACTTCGATCACAAAGCAGGGAAGATGGAAAAAAAAGGGCAGATGTTTTTATCCATGCTAGGCTCATGATTCCTCAGACAAGATCCAGTTTTATTAAATAATTTTTATAGCTGTTAACGCCAGTCATTTTTTGTTATTTTATATTTAGTATTTATTTACCTCGATTAGTTGTATTTCCTTTATTTAGAATTTCAAGTATATTTTGTGGTTCTGGATAAAGAAGAGAGGGCAGAAATGGCTCTTTTAATTTTTAAATTGCAGCCATGAGCCTTTACTAGATAATGACGTTTTTCCCTTTTTTCCACACTTCGACTGTTGTCGTAGCTGATAAAATATTAACTACTGAAAAGTGTTTGACAGATCAGAGGAAGCGTAACACCAGAGAATGTGTCTGTTGTTGTAGCATGATTCATCAGGAGCCTCAGAACAGTGGCCTGGCCTCCAGACTCACCACATTGCAAGAAGACGTGGGCAAGTCACCTGCAAGGAAGAGGTGAGTCTCTTTCTGATGCGGATCAGTTAAAATGTGACTTCTGATGTTTGTTGGAGCTCTTCTGTAAAAATCTAATTTTCTGTCTGTATCAGAGAATTATTTACCGAACTAAAGTTAGTGTTTTGAAATTTATCCAAAATGTAATTCAGTAATGTACAATGGTGGAGTGATGCTTTAGTTCTAACAAATAAGTCCGTAAATCAGTCCGTTGCGGAGTCCTGTTGTCTGGGCCAACACAGATTAACATTGATCATGAGATATGTGAATGCTGGACAGCTTCAAGGTGAAACAGATAGATAATTAGTCCATAACAGCTACCAATTTTGATCATGTTTTTCTTACACTGACATCTGGCATCATTGCACACTGAGTAAATTTAGCTGTCACAATGTAAAATATCAAATCTAATTTATATGTATTTGTATAAAAAAAACAGGCAGATATGAATAAATGTGGGGTGTGGTGCCCAATTTTATGCTACCTTCAGATAGCGAAACTTGTTGATCTAAATATTTTTTAAAGATGACGCCCCCCCCCACCCCCCCAAAAAAAATTATGATCTCTTTCTCTCTCAGGTCTGCCAGTGTGACCACTCTGTCACTCGATCGCTCTGGAACCACCCTGGTTTCACCCTATGAAAATTCAGTCAGCCCACCTACCTGCCGAGCCATGTCAGGGACCAAGAGCAGTACCAAGCTGGACCACAGTGAGGAGGAGAGGAAGATCCTGCTGGTATCTGCTGCTTTAGTCTTCATTTTAAACATTTTTTGTCGAACTAACCACATTTACAATAAAGGAGAAATGAAGTGACATCTCCAAAAATTGATATAACATGAATGTCACTTAGTAAACCACATACACAAAATATCGTAGGAATCCTTTTTTCAAGCCTATTACTTGAAAATTTTTTTGTTTTTATCTCTAAATGCCGAAGTGTATCTATTTTGTGGGGCGGATTTACCTTCACAGGAAATGACACATATGATGCCCCTTTTCCACTAGTGCCACTTGGTGTAGTGTCGGTACGGTCAGTGTTGGAATGGGTCAGTTCGTGTGCTTTTCTATTGACGTTCCGGTCCGGTTCCAGTGGGTGTGTTTTGCGCAGTTGGTGGAGGTGGTTTTTGGGTTTTTCAAAAAAGAGTTAATGTGCAAAATGAGAGATGGAAACACATTTGCTGAATAAGTTCTGGAATTTTAAAAACTCACTAAAATTTTGAATTAAAATTGGATGGAAACACAACTAATGTCACTGCTACAATTGGAAAAATGGTGCCTCGAGTTGTTGTTGTAAAGGCAGCTTAGACGCAACCATTGACTCTACCCCCTAGCCAATCAGTGATGAACAGTGTTCTAACATCACATTTTGGTGTCAACTGGGACCGCTTGGAACCACAATGAAATAGGTACTAAAAAAAGGGCTGGTTCCATGAATCTGGCCTAATAGAAATGGCTTGGAACCATAGTGAACCGTACTGACACTACACTAAGTGGCACTAGAGGAAATGACGCATATTATATCACCGCTATCTTCCAAACAATGGTGAACAACCTACAAGCCTGGTTACTGTCCTCCTGTTTATCATTTAAAATGGAAGCATAATACTTTTTTAAATCTGAAGAAATGCCAGAACACTTTGTGGGAATAAAGGATATACAATCATACCAGTTTGAACCTGAACCGGCAGCTGGATCTCAGGATTCAGATGAAAATACTTCAGATTCTGATACTGAGGATGATGAGGATCATGGTCTACAAGACATTGAGCCCAATGACAGAGTTGGGAACATGGAATGGTAAGAACTAGTTACCCCACAAAACACTGTCATTTTTAATGTACAGTTTGATAATTTTGTGCATTAATCTGAATTTCTTTTCTGGAAATACAAACAGCAACGCTAGCATTAGCCGCCGCATGATATCCGTTAGCATGCAGTGGCTAACATTTTCATATTTTCCGTGTTGAAGCACAGGGGTTCTGTAATTATCTGTGATCCATCACATAAAGATACCTGAGGATTAAGTCCCAAAGTGGTTTGTAGACAAAACAGCCTCTTTAGAATTTCCTAAAAATAGGATTCAAACCAAATATTACTCTTTTATTATGATAAAAAACAAGCTATGTCAAAACTCTGGAACTGCTCATATCAGGATGATCTAAGTATTAAAATGCTTTTTACAAATCAGGAATCTAAAAAAAGGTGCTGAGGTCATTTTGACCAAATTTGACTTTATTCTCAGTTTAATGTGATGAAATACTGTATATATATTCAGTGGTGGACACCAGCCTGCTAAAGCACAAATCCACTAATTGCGGACCTAAATATTTCGTTTGCGCTTTAGCGGTCTTACTAATTTTTATAATTCATAAGCGGATTTGCGCTTTCTAAAATTAAAATGCGGTACTGCTAACAACTAATTATCTACCAGTCATCATTATCTTGAACAGCAGAAGGTATAGCTGTCAATGAATCACAACACGTGATCTATCCAACAGCACCCCTCCCAGATAAACACACTTATTGGGAGGTTATACATCCTTCCTAACAGTTGTTTTGGGCCATGGTTCTCATGTCCCACAATGCTTTATGTCTGCTTACGTAGCAGGAAGGCAATAGCAAAAACAGTTAACGTTTGTAATCTGTACTAGAATTTTGTAAGTATTGATTTATTTTACTTTACAGTCGGAGCTCCTTTTTAACGCTGGAGCTCAATACTTGACGTAATTGGTCGAAGCAATCGGCCAACGGATTGAGAGACTCAGAAATGATTTAAAGATGTTATGCTGATGAAGACTGACATCTAGTGGTCAACTGGAGCAACTATACTTTCGTTTCCCATCACAAATCAAATCTGTCATGTACCCAGAATGCAGCGCTTCAGTTTTCCAATAAACAGTTTTAAAATTATTGATGCTTCTTTAATGAAAAATTTACAACAAACAAAAGAAAAAGACAAAGAAGCAGCCGAACTAGCAATCCTCAACAACTTTTTAATTTTTACACCAGGAGCCAAAGGTCTGTTTCAGGAAATCACATCCCCAGTAATCAGCGGTTGTAGAATGAAGTTGTAAGAAAGTTCATACACAGCTAGTTGGCAGTGTTGTGCATATATTGTACAAGGTTGTCAAGGTTATTTCCTGGTCATCTTAAAAAATTATGACGTTTTCCCAAATCACACACCATTCCCTATGGGCAATATCGTTGGTTACGTATTGCAACCCCAGATTCTATGAGTGTAAGRMCKGCCCTCTAAGGCTATTGCTGATGGGTATCCCTCCGCGCCTCGCACGTATTCTGAATAAACCAATAGTCTACGCCCCCGTACAGTGGGGCCTCACCTCCGGGACGTATATAAGCCAGCCGGCCCGGAGCTCGCCTCCCGATAGCTTACTTTTTTTTCAGCTACGGAAGCCGGTGAGGCCCCGATTCTTAGAGGGCTGCGCTTACACTCATAGAATCTGGGGTTACAATACGTAACCAACGTTCTATTTTGTGTAAGCTCCGCCCTCTAAGGCTATCGCTGATGCGTATAGAGGCTGAGCCCGATGTAGTCTGCGCCTCGCCYGTTTGACAGACCCGTGAAGCTTCCGCCCAAGAACCCCAGATGTTTACACAAGCAGAGGCCGCAACAGCAGCCAACACGCACAGTGAAAAACAACTGTCAGCCCCAGTCCATCACGTAATCCCAATGATGTGAGGTAAAAAGGGCCAAGTGTTGTGTGTGAAGTCATTTCACGCATAAAACCGTCACTTGCCCACCCTATCTGGCAACCCATCCTCTACTCCACCAAAGTCCTGAGGACAGAGTGAGTCAGAGAGGAGCCTGAAACATCCCGCAGGTAAAAGCGGATGAAAGGGCAAGGAGATGACCAGGACGCAGCAGAGCAAATGTCCTGGACTGACATTCCACTGTATAAGGCAGTGGAGGAGGAGATTCCCCTCGTGGAATGAGCTGACAGCCCCGCTGGAGGCTGCAGGCCAGATGAAGTGTAAGCCTGAGAGATAGCCTCACAGATCCCATGTGACAGCCTCTGGGGGGACAGAGGTTGACCCACAGACTGCTGTCTGTAATGAACAAACAGGCACTGAGAGCGTCTAACCCGAGCCGTGCGCGTCACATAACATGAGAGCGCGCGCACCGGACACAGCAGTTGTGAGGTTTTTTTCCTCCACAGAGTTATGGGGAGGAAGACAAAAGCCATCCAAAGTGATGACTCTGGATCTAAAAGAGCTCGTTAAGCTCTTTGGTGTGAAAACTGGGTTAGGACGCAGGATGGCAGAGCTGCCGTCCTCCCGTATCCAGACAAGATGGAGACACAGACAAAGCTGAGGGCTCGCTGACTCTCTTTGCTGATATTAAAGCTAACAACAGTGCTGTTTTCTGAGACAAAAATAAAGAGAAATCTGATCCAAAGGCTCCAAAGGAGCTTTAGTCAGTGCGCGTAACACCAGTGATAAATCCCACTGTGGAGCGAAGYAGCGCGTCTGTTCCTGCGCACGCCCTTCAGGAACCGTTTAACCAGCGGGTGGTTAAAAACCATTCTGTCACCAAAACCCTCCTGACAGGAAGAAACCGCTGCAGCATATGTCTTGACAGTGCTGAAAGCTAATTTCCTATCCATTAGCATTTGTAAAAAAGACAAGATGCAGGACACAGGGCATGAAACTGGGTCTACATTTTTCTCCATTCACCAGCACTGGAAGGATGACCACTTCGCTGTGTAAGATGAGACCGTGGATGCGGCATGCGCCCCCTGAATGGTGCGCACAACATTATCGGATAAACCCAAGTTAATTAAATGTTCCTGTTCAGCGGCCAGACCCACAGGGGCTGACCCAGCCTGGGGAGACTCCTGATTGCTCCCCCGGCTTGTAAAAGAGCATCTTCCCGCCAAGGTAACTGGAGCAGGGGCCCGCCAGTAAGGACTGGAGGACCAGAAACCAATGCGCTCCTGTGCGCCTGGGCACGACCAGGATGACCCAATGCCAGTCCACCTTGATCCGGTCCAGCAGACGCGGGATCAGAGGAACTGGTGGGAAAGCATAAAGCAGCTTGTCCGGCCACAGGCGGTGRGCAAACAGGCGGTGCGTTGTCCCGTGAGCTCAGAGAGAACCACAGTTTGCACTGCGCATTGTCCCTGTTGGCGAACAAGTCCACCTCGGCCCTGCKGAATCTGATCCAGATTCGCGTAGCTATGGTCATGTTCAGGGCCCAGTCCCTGTCCTGAGGACCCACCCGCTCCCCTGTTCAGTACATCTGGGATGTAAACCGCTCTGATTGAGCGCAGATGAGTGTGTGCCCAGAGAAGCAGCCCCCCGGCTGTTTCCAGCAGTTGCTGGGAGCGCACCCCCCACCCCCCGACGGTTGATGTAAGCTGCTGCCACTCTGTTGTCCGTGTGGACCAGAACATGCTGGCCCCGGACCAGAGGGGTGAAGTGTACCAGCACTTTCCACACCGTCAAGAGCTCCAAAATGTTTATGTGCAGGACAAGGTGGAGAAACCAGCAGTCTCCCACAGTCTGGGACAGGCATGACCCCCCCCCCCCCCCCCCCCCCCCCCCCCCCCCCCCCCCCCACAGGGATGCGTCCGTGAACACTGGCATGTGATGCGTCGGTCTGCCCAGGGGAACTCCTGCCGCCAGTGCTAGCGGATTTCTCCAGTGACTCAGATCCGCCTCCACCGAGGAGGGGATCGATACGATCCTGCGCTTGTGGCGTATTGGATCGATCT